AATTAAACGCTTCAAGACTTGATGAATAACTAACAATACACCATATTCGTTTATTTTCACCATTTTCATCAACATCATCAATTAAACGTCGATGTAAAGGATCATGAATAGTTGTACTTATCATTAATATAATAAGACTAATAATAAAATATTTAGCTGTTTTTTTACTTTTTCTTTCATTAAATTTCGCTCCTCTAATTGAAGTAATTGCACGTTCTGTAGCTACACATGCATTTAACCAATGATCCATATTAAGACTAATACGAAGAAAAAAATCAATTGTAATACATTGAAAATAAAGAAATGATCGATGAGTAATGGCTTCTATTTGTGCTCCAAGCAATATTGAAAATTTTAAAGCAAACATTATTATTGTTAATAAAGAAGATCTACAAATGTGTCTAAATATCTGTACTTGTAACATCTGTATCTCTATAATAATTCATTTGTTTGAGATGAAAATGTTAGTTTCTTCCTAACTTTACTGGGCCTACCTACTGTGAAAATATCAGCCAAGTTGGTGAGATCGATTGAGCAAGGTTCTGCTGGAATTGGTTTTGGCTTACGCGCGATACTTCCCAAATGGGTTCTTCAACCCATATGATAAAATTAACTGGAAACTATCATAAAATGACTCCTAAATTAGCTAATCTGACTCTACGATTAGCTCTACACATGTTAACATTTTCTTAGGGCCACAAACTGCAGAGAAAGTTAATATTTCCAAGTTTTATGAAGAAAACCTAATCGTTTGAAGGTAATTCCGTCACGACCCTCTTGACCAGCTCGAATGTTTATAAAAATAAGCAATTCACTGGTTGGATAGAGCGCAAAAAACTGTATTTAGAGCACTGCTTTTTTAGGATGAAAAAGCTGGTCTTTCTGACTAAAAGTGAATTAAAAGCCATTTTCGTGACGGTATCACCTTCACTAATGTATTAACTTTACAAATGTAAATAACTTTCTGAAGAAGCAACGAAATGCAGTCATTTTGTTCTTATGGAGTAGAGTATCGAAAGCATTGTTAGCTGTTGTGAGAGGTTTTGAACAAGGTATATTTATTTATATAAAAAGTTCTCAAATAAGGAACCATAATAAACACTGACTTTTCTCGCTGCTAAGACACATCTCTTTCGTAGCGCAGTTTTCTCTAAGAAATGTCGTAACTATGTAAATAAAACATATATTTACATATGTCATCGACATCGCTCTACACGATGATCATATTGGTTTCGAGTAATTGAGTAGGTCAACTTCGTCCACTAAGGTGTACCGTTACGTGGACAGGCCGCTATATCAATTATTACTATCCAAAGATGGAATTAGTATTGGTAAAAATTTCACACCGTCAGTCTTTCGGCAGATCGGCCGGTCATCAGTAAATCGGTCGGCCCGATTCAGTGTGTTCTATTTAGACTGATGCCAATACCGATCATAAAAATCTAGACCGGTTCCATATCTACTTCACGGTGCGAACGGGACATTGAGTACGATTTTTTAGACGAATCACCTGAACCACCTCGAAATACTGTTCTTTCGCATCTTGGACTAACTTTTTCCAGTCAGTGTTCAGAGAGACGTTTGGAAGAATAAGACACAGCTGTGGCAGAGTTGAAGTTTTTCTGTTTATCACGAGCGTTTCACGACATAGATATGTAGACAAATTAGAATCGTTATTTAAAAAAACAAAATGAATTGATGTCCTCAACGAAGACGAGAATGAAATGATCATTTTCCACTTGCTTATGACGATAGGCAGCAATTCTCAACTCTACATTTATTTCTATATCATGCTTGAACAGTTCATCGACCAAAAGCTTGCCTTTTACGACCGCTTTAAACGAGATCAAAAATGGAGAGAAAGGATACCATGTGCCTAGAAAGCGGTATGCCGCAAATGAAACTTCAACATATTGCGAGTTTTCTATGATTTATGTAAAACACCGTTGGATTTCGTCAGTTTATTATTAATATTTTCAGCTTTGGTGTAAAATATCGAGATACTTGGTGTGGCATAGTTTGTTGATCAGTTTGTTGTTAATTGATACTTGTATTACACGATCTGCTTATCTCATCAATTTGTCTCTTGAAGGCTTGTGCCATCGCATTATTTATAATAGCAGATGCAGGCGTAGATGTCACTATTGGCTGATTCATCAAATATGACGATTGAATTGCATTATTAGATGGTATCTAGTTAGAGAAGAGCGGCGGTTGTTGTTGGTACAGACCTTACTATTCAATCACTGGTGGCGTACACTGTTGCATCTCTTGATTTGATGTTACATATTATTGTTGCAGCGATTGTTGATGATGATGAGGTAATTGCTGCTCAGCCGGATTTAATATGACCTGATTACTAGACATTTGACTTGCTTGTTCAATGTGTTAACCATTAATCTTATTCCATGATTATACCAGTATTTTATAGTTCAATTAATTTCCATTTTTAGCGTACTTGAGTTGATCGTGTGTTGTTTGCATCGTCTGTAAATACGTTTGGTCGGTATTCATGTGTGCTTGCTGGTAAGAAGTTGATGAAGTTGGGAGGCAGAACACATTTACGTGAGAACTTCGAAGATTTTAGACTTCGAGATTTGCACAAAAGTTTAAAAAAGGAGAACAACAAACCACGTACTCATAGTAGTATCTCATACGTCTTATCGAGAGAAAGAAGATTGAAGGGAAGAACATACTAAATATTTGTTGCATAAAAATAACTATTGCTTTGGATGTTCATGTATGTATATCAAGTTTTTTGGCAAAACAAGCAGAATAGAATGAAATCAATAATAAAGAATTTGTTTTCTCATTCAGAATCGGTTTTACATAGGGTGATCAAAAAGCTTTAAGAACATCTTCGTTCTTATTAAATAGGTTACATTTTCAAAAATCTTATTTCACTAAATGTTTAAAACACTTACCCTTATTCTTCATATGAAGTCTCATTCCATTAACTCAATTTTTACATAGATTTTGAAACCGAATACATATTATGGCGTGCAGCTTCTGAGTTACAGCTTTTTTTAAAAGCTTAAAATCAGAATCACTGCGTAATAGATGGCGAGGAAGAAGTTCGATGGGTGAGTGACAGTGACTAAGAAAGAAGGACTCACGATGCGCGAAAATAGGTGGTTGATGGGTCTTAGTATAGCGTTGCACACTCATCCATTATCATATGTTCATGCAAACTTACTCTTCTCCTCATCCTCAAGGGCGTGGGTATGGGCGGGCATGTGGTGTAATCCTCACATGAAATATAAGATGACAATAGCGACTAGAATAATCTGTTGTTTCTCTCTTTTTATTACAACAGATGGTCTCCTATATATATAACGGGCGAGGCAGGTATAATGGCCGCGTTTTGTATATTTGTTTTCAGTCTCTTTATACATTGTATTAAGAAAACAAATTCTACCAAAACATGCAGCGTGAAAAGCTCTACAATTTACATAGGTCAGCTTTTTTTATAGTTGGACTTTTTGCTTTCAAAATGAACGAAATTTTCAGAGATCAAATTTTGACCGTCCGAAAACAAATTTCTCTTTTGTATAAGATGAAATTCGTTTTTTCTTATTTCATCTTTTTATCATCTGATATCTTTTACTTAAAAAAAACAAAATATACCACTAGATGTAGCGTGAAAAGCTCTACAATTTATAAAGAACACAACAGTTCATTTTATATATACACCTTTTGTTTTCAAAATCGACAAAATTCTTTGTGGCCAGAATTCGGCGCTGCAAAAAAAGTCTTTTTTCAGCGCACGACGAATGTGTTTTTTGTCTTATTTACCACCTGATATGTTTTATTTAAAAACAGCAAAATACACCACAAAATGCAGCGTGAAAAGCTCTACAATTTATAAAGAACACAACAGTTCATTTTGTATATGCACCTTTTGTTTCAAAATCGACAAAATTCTTTGTGACCAATTTTTGACGCTGCGAAATAGATCAGTTTTTTTTTGTATTTGGCGGATTCCTTTTCCTATATCTTCGGTTAATGAGTCATAGTGAAAATCATAATCGATGGACGACTTTGAACCAATCGATACGTGTTTTAATTATATTTTCCATTCGTTTCGATATTACTTGTAGAGGCACATGTGATCTACATAATAACAGATTACAATTGTTCGTGTACTGCTATAAGTTAAAATAAAGAAATGAAATCTGAAGATATTCGAAAAGTTGTTATGCGAATGATTGATGATGAAATGACATTGGTGCAAATCGCCAAATAATTACGCAACGTGGTCAGCCAGCGTACGATTAGACGATGGCAAAATTTGTATACAGAAACAGGTGAAATTGATTTGAAAACACCTCCTGGAGGACCTAGAATTGTGCGAACAAAAGATCTTATACGAAACGTCAAGCAACGATTTGCTTACAAAACGTCGTCGAAGTGCAAGACAATTAGCTAAAGCATTCCGCATTTCTACTAGAACAATGAGTCGAATAATAAAGGACGATCTTCAGTTACGTGCTTATCGTATTACCATTCAACCAAAAATAAGCGGTGATAACAAAAAACAAGAATATCCTTTGCATATTGGGTGCAAAAATCATTAAGAAAAGAAGATCATAGTAGGATTTTATTTACTGATGAAAAGTATTTTTCATTAGAAGGTGTATTTAACCGTCAAAATGAACGTGTTTATGCTGTTAGTCGGATGGACGCAGATGAACGAGGTGGTATAAAACAACAAGCCAAATATCCAAAAAGAATTATGGTGTGATTGGGTGCTTCGAAAAATGGCCTTACGTCTCCAATCATTTTTAAACCTGATGAAACATTATCACACAAGAAATATATTGAAGTCGTTCTTCCGTATGCACAATCTGAAGGTGCTCGGCTGTTGGACGACGATTTCATTTTTCAACAAGACAATGCTAAACCACATACTCATCATGAATCGTTGGAATGGTGTGAAGAAAATTTCACACAATTTATTAGCAATCATAGATGGCCACCAAATAGTCCCGATCTCAATGTTCTGGATTATTACGTAGGGGATGCCATCACCAATAGTATGCAGTGGGGCAAAGTTAAAAATGATGACTCATTAATTGATGAAATTAAAAAAGGAATTCATCGTGTACCAATGAATGATCTTGCTTGCAGGTCGAAAATTGGCCACAAAGAATTTTGTCGATTTTGAAAACAAAAGGTGTATATATAAAATGAACTGTTGTATTCTTTATAAATTGTAGAGCTTTTCACGCTACATCTAGTGGTATATTTTGTTTTTCTTAAGTAAAAGATATCAGATGATAAAAAGATGAAATAAGAAAAAACGAATTTCATCTTGTACAAAAAAGAAATTTGTTTTCGGACGGTCAAAATTTGATCTCTGAAAAT